AGAAATAAAGCCCGACGATAAACAATACTAATTAGATATATTTCATTCAATAAACACAAACGAACAAATCGTATCGGGAAACCAAGGCCGGATCTCGCTCAAATGGCCGGTATTACCGCGGTACTCGGATCGGCCGTTACCGCACGCGCGAAGTGCGTGATGTTCACGCTCGCGAGGCTCCCTTCGCGAGCGAAGCTTTCAATTCTAAGCGCGACCCCGCAATAACGCCAATCTGCCCACGTCTTAATCTCCGGATCCCGAACGTTCGGCGATTCTTACACGCCCGACGCAAACGATTCTCATACACTCGACATAACAATTCTCACACGCACGACACAATGTATGCAACGCCCGAGAATGGCGCGTTCGCGAGATTCCTATGCGAGCAAACGCGGCGATATTTGCCCGCACACACGGCGCAAGATATCCGCGAGACTCGCGATGCACCTCAACGCACCCCAAGGTGCCCGGCGCGGTCCCTCCCGACACGCACACGGGACTTCCGTCCGCGAAACGCGACAATAACGCGACAATAATACGCAAAAGGAGCCCGGCGCGGTACCTTCCGACACGCACACGGGACTTCCGTACGCGACACGCGACAATATACCGTAATACGCAACACTAAACACAATATGCACCGGAGCGTGCCGCCCGCGGCACACCTCCGTCCACGATTCACAAGACGCACACGACGCTATACGCGAATTGACTGCCGATCACACGCAAGCTTTCGAGTAGGGCTTTTACTGTTTCTGGCTACGATCTCGGCCGGCCACGTGCCCGCGATCCCGACAAACAGCCGCGATAATCTTCCCGGCATCCACAACGGCGGGAGTCGGTAGCTAAGTACGACACGTAATCAGGCCGATTCACACGGTAATCTACTCGATATACGCCTTTCCGGCACCGTGTTGCGACCGAGATCGAGCCCTTTTTGACTAGGCAGCACCGGAGTGGAGATCTTACAATTTGGCTGCTCGCTGCTGCTCGGCGGCGTCGGGGCGCTCCTCCAGGGGTGGCTCCTCGTCCGCGGCTAGATCGACAGTGAGGAGCGGTCGGTTCGGCGGGACCACACCGGACCCCCGCACTTGCGCCCTCAAGCTCGCGGTTCTTCCGCCCCGCCGATTGGTTGTGTGTGTCGCCCTGTTCGCGACGATGCAGACAATTTCCGCCATTTTCCCGCGGCCCGTTTGACTTGGCTGCTGGTTGCGCGTGGACCCCTCGCGGTTTTCCGCCCGGCTGGCCAGGCCGTGACGGCGCCGCTCGGCCCTTGGGGCGCCGTCGGGTGAGTGTGTGGGTCGTCCACCCGCGCTGCAGTCGCGGTGGCGCACTCGTGTTCATGCTGCGGCGGGGCCGTGTTACGCTGTGCGAGGCATTCCCGGCGCTTTTCCAGCGGCAGGTCCCGGTGGCCCGCCCGTCGGCCGACCACTCCGTCGTGCGTCCTCCGAGCGCCCGTTTCTCCCTCGTCGCGACTATCGTCGTTACATCTGGTCGTGATCCCACGCTCCGGCACCACCTGTCATCCCTACGGAATGTTTCTCAAAAAAGGTTAATTAACGCGGGTAGCCCTTCCTCGACCCGAGTCGAGGCGCCATCCCTGACCTTCCCCTCGGCCGAGCTATCGCCTGGGCGGCGGACGTGACAAATGTCACGTCACAAGATATGGAAAAATGTTTCAGATAAAAGTTGTAAGATATAAAGGGAACCAGATGATGAAAATATGGACTTGACCTCGAATGACCTTTTCAAGGCCAAGTCATTGTGATCAAAGTTTTTTTAAATAAAACCTCTATTTTTTATTACATATTCTTGTAGCCCTTGTTGAGACGTTTTCAAAACACTATAATAAAGCTCTCTTTTATTAAGGACTTCTAGAGATATTTTAAATTTTGTTATGCTACTTTTAATATAAAATATGAAATATCTCGTGAAATATTTATTTTTCGATGACTTCACACTAATACTTTTTTACATGGAATAATGAAAAAAATCGAATAATAATATTAATTTTTACATTTTGCAATATTGCAAATATAAATATTTCTACAAAATACAATCAAATTTTTTTAAATATTTTTTTACAAAAATTACTTTTTTTTATTATTCTGCGTATAAAAATACAAAGTCATTGAAAAGTAAATACTTAATGAGATATTTTATATTTCATATTAAAAGTATCTTGACAAAATTTTAAATATCTTAGGAAATTCTTAATAAAAGAGAGCTTTATTATAGTGTTTTGAAAACGTCTTGACAAGGGCAAAAATATGCAATAAAAATGGGATATTCTATTTAAGAAAACATGGATCACATTGACCTGACCTTGAAAAAATCGCTCAAAGTCAATTCCATATTTTTATCATCTGTCCCCTTTAATATCTTACAACTTTTATCTAAAACATTTTTCCATATCTAAAGCCGTTTCTGAGATCCAGGAGGCTCGGTCAGACTTTAGAGATACCCTGTATAATAACTATAGTTATATTTCAAATATATAATTATGTCTATAAGGGAGACCGGGGCTGTGTCCACACTTTACGCTTTTTTCAAGTTTACTAAAAAACTATTAAAGATATTTGGCTAAAATTTTAATGGTATGACCTTTCAACCTTGCTATTAAAAAAAAAAAATAATAAGAATCGTTAATCTTTTAATATTTTAAAGAGGCGAATTTTTTAAGTGGACAAGTCAAACGTAGACAGATAGCCCCGTATGCGGGGCTATCTGTCTACATTCGAGGGGCTATCTGTCCACATAATAAGAAACACTTTATTTATATAAATTTCTATACTTATTTATAATATTATTAATATATTATATTGAAAAAACAGCCTAGTCGTTGGAGTCGGAGAAGTAGTAGGCACTTTGTGTAGATTTTTGCGTAGTTTTTGCATGTTTCCTGCGTAGAGCTGACTTTTCTTTATATACTGTACTTAAACTATTGCATATACAATTTAATATAGCTGATTACATTTTGAGGTTAAATAATGATTGAGATTTATAATGTGATATGCATAAAATGCTGTTAAAATTTAATAATTAAATAAAAACTCTAAAAATAATAAAAAATTGCTTCTAGAATTGTAACAATTTACCTGGTCCTGTGAACACAGAGTAGTCATCTTTGACGAAATAAAGTGAGCAAACTCGAATATTTGGTATCACTTTTTTGCCCATTTTTAAAGCTCTCTCCCACAACACTCTCCTGTCAATTAGTTCACTTTGTCCAAATTTGTTTAATTTATTAATTTTTATTTCACCGGCTTTAGGAAGGCAGTAAAAACTTAATTTCGGGTTGTTACAAGCTTTGCTATTGCAACCGAAAACAGAGCAAAATATTTTGCTTTTGGAATTTTTAGGTAGAAATTTCACTGCGGCCTCCATAACTAATTGTAATTACATTGGGTGTATTATGAAACTGTCATATGGGAAAATTAAATCAAATAACTGTCAATTCGATTTATTTATGTGGCAGCCGGCGATCTACTCTTTTGGGTTCTGATTTTCGCCACCAGATAGCGTATCACAGTTTAGCCAATCTCAATACACAAATAGGTGGAAAAGAAGCTTCACCGTAGACTTGGCTGTTCCGCAGAATTGACAGAATTGACAGAATTGACATTCCGCAGTCAATCCTACCCACACAGCAAAATATATCTGAGATATAGCCAGATATTTTTATGCCAACCATTTTAGGTCAAATCTGAGATATCTTATTTTCAGATATTCACAGAATATCTACAGTACATTATTACTCGATATCACATTATATCTTTGAAAAAGACATCTCTGTAACATTTGCATTCAAATATATGGCTGATTCATAGTCAGCTCTTATATTTTATAAAGGTCAACTCAAGTTTATTCGTAGCCAATAAAACAATCCGAGAGGACTTGGATGCCGTACCGATTCGCCCCGGCAAAAGCCACACGCCGCGAGGGAACTTAGAAAATTTTTACTCAGGCGGCGCCGGAGGTAACGACTGCGACGCGAAAGCAACTCGCCGCGAGGAGATTTAGAAAATTTTTGCTCGGGCGGCGTCAGAAATAACGACCGTGGCGCAAAAGTAACACGCCGCGAGGGGACTTAGAAAACTTTTGCTGGAGCTGTGCTGGAGGTAACGACTGCGGCGCGAAAGCAATATGCCGCGAAGAAACTTGGAAAATTTTTGCTCGGGCGAGCGCTAGTAACATGTGTTGCCGCGACGCGGCTACATGCGCCAGTACTTTCTCGTAAGCAAAAATTCTTACTCACTAGGATAAAAGGCGAGCCTGTGAGATACTTGGCTCTAATATTTTTCGTGATATCTCCGAGATATTATACAGTGCAAAGATGGCAAAATGCAAAATATTGGAACAGTATTGAAGCATAATTTTGAATTTACTGTGAATTCTTATGAAAAGAACTTTTTTTATATTTGAAGAGACTCAGAATTGGTGACATAAAAGTAAATTTTCTATGAACTCTTAAGAATCATTTTAGAACAGAGAATAAATACGGAAAAAAAATTAATTTCATAAATCGAGAATTTAAAAAGAATTCTTCTTTTCTTCTTGCTATTTGGGTTGTATGTAACATATCTGCTTTTAAACAAGGCATAGATATCCGACGTATATGCAGAATCAGATATCATATCTGAGATACAATTATCATGGCTTTTTATAATCTTGGAGATGTCTGAGATATTTTTATAATATCTTGCGCAATCAGATATTCCGTCATTCAGATATCTTCTAGATATCTTGGTGATACATGTATTTTACTGTGTGGGTAGGAATGCCGCGTTTCGGATTTTGACCATAACATATACACATAACATATACACATATGTGTGTATACACATTTATGCACCTACACATACATATAATATGTATATACATACATACATACACAAATACATTTTTTAAATAATTTTATAATAACAATGCTGAATCGTAAATAGTTTGTTCCATATTCATATGTCTATTTTTCGGCTCCATGCGTTCTGTGTTTTTAGAAACCGGTGATCCACCTTGTCAATATCACAATGCGATCTTCCCGTCCGCGGATTTTGAATATTTCGTTCTCGAGTGCCTTGGACCTGGTATACCTACCGTGGCCCTTTACAAAATGGAAATGCCCGTGCCGCGACTCATTGCAACATTGCAGAATAACACGTTGTTACGCGTACGTTTTCGCATAAGTTATAAATTTTAGATTACTAAATCTCCTGTTAAATAGATTTTTATCACAAATATGTGCCAATTTTTTTTATCTCAAAAAATACATACATAATGTATATATTTATAATATAAATGTTTATTGCAGGAAAGAATAACTGACATCGCACTTCCGCAAGTAAAAACATTTCCTGTACAGATAAGTGGTGGCTATAACGCCCAGGTGAGATTGCATCTACCACCCGGGCTAAGAGAAGATGAAATTACGCGTTACCCATTGGTTGTTCAAGTGTAAGTATGTTAAAAGTATGTTTTGTAACTACCAATATAATTAATTATTTATCTTACAAGTAGTTTCAAACCTGTTAGAGTAGTTTCAAACTCGGTATTTATATAGAATAGCTACTGCACCTCAAAAATTAATAAAAATAAGCTCATTCGACGCATTTTGGCACAAAACAAAAGAATCTGGCAGAAAAATGCTGCGGTCTGCCCTGCGAAGCGAGATATTTAGCGTTAAAGTTGACGATTCTTAGGTTAGAAATCCTGTCATACCGACGTGATGTAGTGATCATGAGCATACACACATGTGTGTATGTCCTGCTTTATAGAAGTTGTGATTTTCGTTAAAGCAGGGCACATACACACGTGTGTATGCCCTGCTTATAGAAGATGTGATTTTCGTTAAAGCAGAGGGCACACACACACACACGTGTACGTGTATGCCCTGCTTTATGGAAGTTGTGATTTTTTTTAAAGCAGGGCACACACGTATATATTAGTTATTTATGCCTTCCAATACTCAAAATAGCTGCTATATTTTCCAAACTTTTTTTGTTAATAACTTTTTAACGAATAACGAGCGCGGGCTGAAACCTTCTGAAGGTCACTCAAGGGGGTGACCTTGACAACATACTAAAACATCAAGGTCATCCAAGGTGATCCCCCCATCTAAACAATTACCATATTTATGCATTATAAGGCTCCTGGGTAGTTACCGCGGCCATATTGGATTCTTACTATCGAGGCGAGAAAAACACCCAATTTTGTTGCGCATGCCATTTTCAAATAAAAAGACATTTCAATAAAACATCACTATAGATCGTTTCAGAACACTTCCGAAATTGGCTGAAAACTACCCTTTTCCCTCGACAATAAACAAACAGCCATAAAACGAAGCCTAAACATACGGGAAAAACAGCCGTTTAACGACTATCGAAAGGAGGTAAAAACGTTCCTTCCGCATGCAAATCTTACTTTTCGGCCAATTTTACGACTTTCACGAATATGTTAAACGTTAGAGCACAGAGCGAATAATAAAGAAATAGCATGCACAACAAAATAGGTTGTCAACATGTCATAAAGGACAGAATTCTCCACTGGAGAGAGTTCTGATTTCTGCCGCGACGGTACGTCGCCACCGTCAACGCAGAGTTCTCGGCTCAGGGACCAGGAGCCATAAGTATGCATACGTTTAAAATTCGCACACTTTTGCATGCGCGTACGACCACGGAGCATGCGCGTGTGGCCGCGGGGCATGTTCATGATTGCTACATCACGTCGGTATGACAGGATTTCTAACCTAAGAATCGTCAACTTTAACGCTAAATATCTCGCTTCGCAAAGCAGACCGCCGCATTTTTCTGCCAGATTCTTTCGTTTCGTGCCAAAATGCGTCGAATGAGCCTATTTTTATTAATTTTTGAGGTGCAGTAGCTATTCTATATAAATACTCAAACTCTCCATAATCACTTCAAAAAATAAGAGCAATAATTTCAAGCAGACTCGAACCTGGATGAAACAAGGATTCAAACTCTCTATGAATATCTCGAAAAACAAAGGTATTCTAAGTGGATTCGAACTTAGATCAAATATGTTCGAATGGTAAGTATTTTTCTTTACACAGTCAACCCCGATGACCTTGACCTTGACATATGTTGTCAAGGACATGACCCTGAGTAACTTTTGCTTATAATTTAATTGTCGTTCATTGTTTATTTAAAAGTTATGAACAAAAAGGTTTGAGAAATTTACAAGTTTGTGTCAGTGGTAAAAAAAGTAATTTACTGATATGTGTGTATAACAGTACACATGTAAGCAGAGCTACCGTTCTTCCTCCGCAGGCAAGAATGGGTGGGGATGGACCTCGTTTTGCCTGAAAAGTTGAAAACTCGATCCGTACAATACAATTAAGGGCGACTTTACCGATTTCCATGGCCTTGATATATATTGTCAAGAACATGATCCTGAGTACATTTTTCTTATAACTTCATCGTCGCTCATTGCTTATTTAAAATATGAACAAAAAAGTTTAAATAATATACGAATTTGTGTCAATACTAAAACAACCTGACTTCGATACGCGGATCTAGCTCGCGGCGTGGCTGAGTTCGAAGGAGGCGCGGAGGAACAGAAGCGAGGCGTGGTTGGCAAAATAAAGCGTATTGGTTTCAGTAACAGAAACAGAAAGTTTATTATAATAGCGTAAATTCTCGCGGTGTACAGAGTCGCGAGGCAGGCGAATTGGCCAATTAAGTATACGCAGAGTACAGTGTCGTGATGCACGCGGAGGTTCGCGGGGCGAACCGGCACGGTACAATGATTCTCACGGGATAGCACCAGCGGCCGAGCACACGTGTCGTGCGATCGCGACGGATGGTCGGTTCGTCGCGGGTGGCGCCAGATAAGGGGCTTTTTCATGCTGACGCTTGACGCTTGATTTGGGCGTCAAAACCGGTCATGTGACCAACTTCATCGGTAGAAGGCAAAATAGCATCAAATATGCGAGTGTCAAAACACGTCTAATTATTTTTTAACGATATATTTACAGTCAACGATTTGCAATTGACAAGCAATTGATTGAAACGAGCGTCAAGCGTCAAAGCTGAACACAGTTGAGCTCTTGCCATTTGAAGCTGGATATAAAAAGACTATCACGTGACCTATTACGTGATCAATTTTGACGCCCAAATCGAGCATCAAGCGTCAGCATGAAAAAGCACCTATAGATATTCCGCCTGGCGTGTCAGCGCGGTACGCACGGAGCGGAGCCGGTGCTTTATTCGGAAGTTTGAATGCCGAATCGCGTTACAAAGCGTATCGGTACGACCGGTTTTTTCGGAGCAGAGCGGGGCGCGTGGAAATGGCGCGAAGCGCGGACGCGGCGAAGAGATCGCGTGGATTCCGTTCGGATGGCGGAAGGATTGATCTAGTGCGACTCCAACCACCGAGAAGCGCTCGGTGAAGGCAGAGTACGGAGACTCTAGTCCCGATGGAAGGCTGCGAACGGCTAGATCGAGGAAAAAGGCGCGAGTCCAACCACCGAGAAACGCTCGGTGGAGGCAGAATACGGCGGCTCTATATATCCCCGATGAAAGGCTGCAAGCGTCTGAAGACGAGGCGGTATCCGGCGAGACACACTCGGTGGAGGCAGAGAAGCGCCCTTACCTTGCCGCGGTAAGTCCGTTCGCGGACTTCCTATCATTACAATGACTAAAAAATAAAGTGGGCACACCGTGCCCGTTCCTCGCCCGGCGGATGGTCGGCCGGGCGGTCTCGGGTTGACGTTCGGCCGGAACGATGCGTTTTACGGGGCCCATCATTACAATACTAAGGGAAGTAATTTGCTCATATGTATGCTGATGTGTGTGTAGTGTGTGTAGTACACATGTAAGCGGGGGAAGAGCTACCGCCCTTGTTTCGCCCTTAAGTAGAGGTAGAATGGAGTAAATTGAAGCGAAAGTCACCCCACTCCATCCCGGCCTGTATATAGGGCAAAACAAGGTATCATTGTATAGTTCGAGTTTTTAAGTTTCCACGCGAACCGAGGTTCACCCCCATCCAGCCCTGTCTGGGAGGGAGGGACTACAATTCGTATATTTTTTAACTTTTTTGTTTATATTTTAAATAAACAATGAACGACAATAAGTTATAAGAAAAAGTTACTCAGGATCATGACCTTGACAACATATGTCAAGGTTAAGATCATCGAGGCTGACTGTGTAAAGGAAAATATTTACCTTACTTTAATATACATATTTCTGTAAGAAACCCGTTAAGTTAGTCACGTTGGCACCGTAGCTGGCAGACCTGAGGAAATGTCGGGAGGAGACATCACGCCGGACACGCGTGATCAGAGCCGAACACGGAGCTCGTTACTCCGATTGTAATACGCGGGCAGACGATCGTGAGCCGCGAAAGGTAGAAATGGACCGTCTCCGGTTGCGCGCTGCGGTGCCTACCGTATCGAATCGTGTGCAACAAAACTTGAATAAACTGTATTCTATTATTAAACTGAAATCTATTATCCTGACATCCCGTCGAGTTGATCCTTACAACTCAGAAGTGGGATTCAGTTCGCGTTACCCTTAAAGAGGGCCATTACGTCGCGTAGGTTCGATCGTGAATGCATGGTGCGAACGAGAGCCCAGAGAAGCATGGATCGACAGCGGCTGGAAGGTTTAACGTTGGTGCAAATTAAAGAAGAAGCGAGGCGGCTCGGCATAACCATTGCCGAAAAAATCACGCACGCTCGCTACATCAAGCTCATTATGGAGTACACGGATAAAAAACCTTCAAGCGAGCAGCTAGGTAAGAACACACCTCCGGTGAAGAGCAAGAGTACACCGGTGGGGCCCGGAGCGATCCGGAAAGAAATTGCGCCGGCCGGGCGAAGAGACAGCGAAGAGATGCCGCCATGGAGTGCGCACCACATGGCACAGCTGCAACAGCAGCAACAATTTTACACGGCACAGCTGCAACAGCAGCAACAACTTCACACGGCACAAATGCAACAGCAGCAACAACTACTGGAGCAATTGACGGCTGCGGTCGTCGATGACCAGAGAAACCGAGTGAATCGGCAGGACGAACGAGCGGACGAGCGGAACAGGAACACCAGTCAGGCGTTACCGTTGACCTCGGTTTCGTCAGCACATGCAGTGAATCTGTTAGCGACGCAGATTCCAGAGTTTTTGGGAGCGGAGACGGACAATGTCGAAGTATGGCTTTGACGAATAGAGAAGGTAGCTGAAATACACTTGGCACCAGAAGGCGTAAAATACTTGGCGGCGACCAGTAAGCTGACAAAAGGAGCAAGGAAGTTCGAGATAGGCTTAGGAGAGATGCTGGAGTCCTGGACGGGCTTCAGAGAAGAGATTTATATATTGAAGAGATTTCGTCGCAGAGTTTTATTCCACGTCGCCATACAGAAAATTGAAGCACGTAAGTGGAACCATTGGAAGGAAACCTTCTTAGAATATGCAGCAGATAAGCTAGCCCAGATGTACGGCCTCAATTTAACAGAAGAGGAACAAGTACATTTAATTATTAGCGGCATAGGGAGTCGCTCTCTGCGAGAAACGGCGGCCGTGCTGAACACGGAAGACGTCGACTTATTCCTGCAACAAATGCAAAAGATTATAAGTGCCTCAGGTGAGATGGAGACCAAGAAGCTAACGAGAGAAGGAAGTAAAATGCCCCGAAGGGACAACGACAAGGAGCCGGGCAAGGAGGGGATTACGTGCTTCAGGTGCCAAGCCAAAAGGCATAAGATTTACGAGTGCCCGAAATTCAAGAAAGACGACAGGCCACACTCGATAGGGACGCCGGCGGCCGTAGCAGTATCAGCCGTGCAGGAGGAACCCGAAAAGGAAGATTCGACCACGGTAGCATTAGTCGATAGCGATTCAGGTAGACGAATTAATTATTCCGGACCATCGTTATCGGTTATTTTGCTTATTTTGAATAGATGTAAACTATCCGCAATAATAGATACGGGTAGCCCAATTTCCTTTGTCCGCGAGAATGTATATAAGAAACTTGTCGAAAGCTCGTCAGGGCCGTTAGCTGAATCAACAATAGCGTATAAGGCACTTAATATTACGCTCATACCGATTCTGGGTATAGCAAGGTCGAACTTGATATTGGAACAATACCCGGATATTAACTTAGACGTCGAACTTCACGTGATCAGAGAAAGTTCTCGGCATGTTGACTTGGTGATAGGACGCGATCTTTTAGAAAAACACGAATTATTCATATGGTATTCTTCTTCAACAGGAGAAGAACAAGAAGTGCTTAAACTATTCGGGCCACGAGACGCGGTTTGCAGCATTTCTAGTAAAATAGATGAAATAATCGCTAAACTAGACATAAATTCCAATAATGAGGTAAAACTTAAATTAAAATCGTTAAAGAATATAGAAAGCAAAGTTGTTCCAGTATCAGACGACGGGTATAAGTTTAAAGTCGCCCATCGCGCGGGCAAACAAATGATACATGTAGATGCACTCAGCAGGCACGTTGGCCTGATAGAGGCTTTACCGCTAGAGCGCCAATTATAATTCAAACAGCTGCGCGATCATAGATTAAAAGAAATAGCGGAAAATTTCGAATTTGGAGATAACGATAAATTCGAGTTGATAGACGGTTTAGTTTATAAGAAAGGCAAGGATCACCCTCGATTCGCCGTACCGGGCGATATGATTAATAATGTTATAAGAGCATGCCATGATAAGATGGCACATTGTGGGGCCAAAAAAACAATGCAGGGCATACGGTCGAACTATTGGTTTCCGTCAATGAGGAAAAAAATATCGGATTACATTTCGAATTGTTTAGTCTGCCTAATAGTCTAAGAGCTGGCTACGTAAAAATGCAAAGTATAAGGTACATGAAATTTTTATAGCTAGAGAGGTTTCATTAGCACTCCTGAACACTGACAAAAGAACGGTCGGAAGTGTTTCTACCCGATTTGGATGCGCTTTGGATATGTTGTTGAGCATCAAAAAATAGTAGACTCGTATTTTTTTTG